AAGGGGGCCTGGGAGCCCTGCGGAGGCGGCAGCCCCCCCCTGGGTACGGTATCCGGCTCCGGCGGCAGCAGCCGCTTCGCTTTCCAAAGCTTTGGCACCAGCAAAACAGACTTGTTTGTCAGTTTGCTCATTTAGGCACGAGTGACTGCCTGGAGCGAGCCCAGAGTAAGATAACATTGACAGTAGACCCAGTCCTATCAGCCTTACAAACTGCCCAATTTGATATTTTTTTCATTAATAATCCAGGCCCAAAAAATAAGAGTGGTATAATGAAATACACTGATAATACTAAATTGGAAATACAGAGGAGGACTGAAAGAACTCCCACAGGAAACAGTTGGATGCTCTTCAGGACTGGATGTCAGAAAGAGGATCAAATTCAATTGTATAAACAGCAAATTTATGCACTTAAGGGCTAAAGGGAATTTCTATTATGTTGTTTCGGAGTGCCTGGTTTGAAAGGAAGAGAGACCTGACTGTGCTTGTCTCTGACAAAATGATTTTCCAGATCAACAGGGTATCTTCCTGAAAAACACAACTGTCATCCCAGAATACATCAAACAAGGCTTCTTTTGAGTCAAACTGAGGTAAGATTAATATTGTTGTCCAAGGGAGACATATTTTCAAATACCACGTGCAGGTGCTGGACAGCTTTGCTCAGAGAGTTCAGCTGGCTAGAGGCAAAGAGAGGCTTCTGAGATAGCCCAGGAATGGAAAGCTCCCCAAGTCTGGCAGAACTACAGTTGTGAGAGGATCTGAATGCACCAGATCATATATCAAGATGTGAAGACAGCTAATTAAGATATAGAAAATATTGGCACAACATCAAACAGACAAGGCTGTCCATGAATAAATGGAGACTGGATGCTTAAAAAAAAAAAAAGTTTTGTATTTGAGTGCAAGCAACAAAGGCGACAAAAAGAGGGATGCTAAGAAATTTCTGAATGGGAACATCTATGAGACAACTGTCCACAAGGGTCAGGTCCTCTCGGGCACAGTGAGCAAGTTCACAGCTCGCTGCTGCTGAAAGCAGGAGGCCTCAGTGTCCCCTCAGCAGCATGTGCTGCCACCTCCCTTGCGTCAGCACTGGCACACATCAAAATACTCTTGGTGTCAGGACTAACATTCATCAAAGTACTCTTGGTGTCAGTACTAGCACTCATCAAAATACACTTGGAGGATTCAACAAACCCATGTTTTTGCCACATTAGTTTAATTAAAGTCCCTTGTGAAGAGGTATGATCAGCTCCAGGGCTGATGCAAAGAAGGAAAGTACCTGAACAGCTGTAAATAGGGGAAGAAAGATCAAGTGAGCCCTCACTCCTTCGGCAGCTGCTGGACCAGTGCAACCAGCTGCCCACAAACTCGCCTGCTGAGACCCAGTTAATTCTGACCAGGTCCACAGACCTATATCGATGCCTCATGCGGCAGCTGGTGAATGACCCACCATTGAGAAGCACATGAAAAAGATTTGGTCTTTTCAGTAACTGGTTACAATCCTTTAAGTTCTTTTAGACATGAATACTAAATATTTGTGATACTCCTCCACTTGTGGAAAGTTCAAAGACTTCCAAAAGGTCTGCATGCTTTTCATCGGTTTACTAAAGCAATCTCTGTAACAGAGGGCTCTACTTTTACTCTCAGCTATTTCTGAAAATAAAAAAAGAGAGGTGAAAGGGCTGGGAATGACAGGAGAGCCGCTGCACAACTGCTAGGGACTCAGTCTGGAGTTTACAAACAGGAGGCAGGTCTGAAATTTAAGGCATTTTTAAAGCCTACCCAAAATAACAGGGTAGGCAGGATACATTCAGGAATATTTTATTAGTAGAAAACCCCACCAAAAAATGGCATGTTATGCTTTTTTTATTATTATTATGGCTCACTGCATGGAAAATATCACAAAAAAACACAACACTTGCAGATCCAATACTGCCATCAGTTCTATTACAAACTAAGTGATAATCTGAAAATGACAGACAATCTTAGAAACTTATGCCGAAAGATACGCTTCTTTTATGAGATCACCTCATATGCAGAGCAATGTTTTGTTTTCAGTAACAGGGGGGCATATAACTGCATAATTTTAGCAAAAGTCATTTCTTTAAAACAAACAAAAAGAGCTATAGTGAAACACTTGTGAAACACAATGAAAATTATTTAAGCAACATAAGACACCGAGCATTCAGCAATAAAATAATATGTATTTCCGCATAAATTACACAATCTTTTCCTATGGTAGAGATGAAATAAGAATAGCTTAGCTTGCCTGCCAATCTATACTAAAAGCTATCTGTTAGGTTTAGTTTTAATAATAATTATAAAGAAAATCCGCATGTGGAACAGCAACAGATGATGAAAAAAATTTTAGGAGTACTAGGGATGTAAAAAATTATGGTGAAAAACTATCCACAATATATGAGAAAATACTGCACTTGGAGATTTTCAAAAAGATGTGCCAAGGCATTGAGATGAATTCTTTGAAAAGGAATGGCAAAAATTCACATATGTTAAAGAGTTAAATATAAAGCATTTCCCAAGAAGCACATGTGACCTATGGCTTTTACAAGGAGAAAATAGTTATAGTAATAACAGCAGTTCTGCTTTTAGAGTTCTGTTATTTTACAAGTGTATACAAATAAAGTAGTGGAGCTTGTTTTGTTCACAATAGCACCAGCATTTAGCACTATTTTGGGCCACAACCCTATCAGTCCATCCCATGCAATTCCAATAGCATGAGGGCTAGAATGAAAAAGGAAGAAAAAAAAAAAAAAAAGCTCCTCCTTGCTTTTTCAGAAGGGTGGACTCTGACAACTCTCCCAAATTGTCAAAACAGTAGTACAGAGACAAAGAAGGTATTGGGAATAAAATGTGCTCTTTACAGAAAAAGGCCTCAATTATGGAAAGCAGCCATAGATGCTTTCAAGATCACACTGATGCACGTGCTTAAATTCTACCTTAAAAGGAACTAACTACAGCATTTGCATAAGAGGTTTACTGGACCAAGGCCAAGATTAGGAAGCTCGAAGAGATGGGCTTTGGAAATAGATTGGTTGGTTATCAAGCAGAAAGGTGCTGTTCCAAGAAACAAAAGGAGGGAAAAATCTGAGGTGGCAAGAGAAAACAGACTAAGCCAGATGTTTAAAGACATAGGAAAAAAAACAACAACAACAAGGAGAATATAAAGCACTTACATTTGAAAGAGGAAGAAAGAAGGCCATAGATGACCTTGAGAAAAGGGGACAGGTTTGTATTTGAACATGCAATGGATAACAAAATGGGAAATATCCCTGGTAACGAAAAAGAAACTTTCTTTTTTACGGAGAGGAGGATGGAAAAGCTAATCAAAAGATTTGGGGAAAAAAATTAACTCTCCTGATTTGAAAGTCTGTAAAGGCGGAATGCCTGGAAGTTTTGAAAGAAAAGGAAAAATGACAGCAGCCTCTATAGAGACCACAGGAAGAATTCCAAACTTAAGAAATGTAGAAATAGAGAGTTCAAAATCATAGTACCAAAAATGTACCTCTGCTGGCATACAGTGTTATAACTGAAATGACTGGTTTCATGATATCTGATATCATTGTT